GTATATATATATATATATATATATATATAATCTACTTAATAGGCATCCCAGTAGCTCAGCGGTAAGTCTAAAGACTTATAACAGTAAAAACCAGGTTTCAATACCCGTGGCGGGCACAGCACAGATAGTCCATAGTGTAGCTTTGCTTACTAACTAACAAACAAATACTTCTGAATAAAATTCAAATAACTTCCCTGTGTACAAGAATTTATTATGTATGTAAATAAAAATTACTTTGTATGTATTGGTATGAAAACTAATTCTTGTGTAATAGAAACATCAACTATATGTATTAACAAAATTCTTGGTACAAATTCTTTTATGAAAACTAATAACTTCTCTATATGCAAAAATACTTTTATACGATATATTAACATAATTTTGAATATGCAAGTCAAGTGACAACCACGATCTATATATATAGTCGTGATGAAAAGGAATGTATCAGCACTATATTTGACATTGTTTGACGTTTAGTAGGTTGTGTGATGCCACTTTTGGGAAGGGTATGCAACAGCAATTTCCGATGCAAAATATTCACACACTAAGGTCATAAAGATGTGTTTAGATCGGAGATTTAGAATTTTCGAAACGAAGATATTCATTATGCTTAATGACACTGGAAAAAAAAATATGGATGAACTTGGGGTATCACAACCATTTAGAAAGTGACCTGCAACAAGTCGTGGTAAGCAAAGTATACGGTGTTTTATAACAGGTGAGAATCCACGAACACAAAGGTCAGTGGCAACAATACCAATACAATCAAGAAGAATCTCAGTCTGGAAAAGCGACACGGGTTGCTTTCGGAGAGATATCCGTTCAACCGTTGCATACCTCAAACAACTGTAGAATGAAAAAGGCATTCATGATATTCCATACGCCGACGTACTGGTCAAGTCGCTAGACGTAGCGCCTACGGAGTTCTGTGTGATCGGACTGATGAAACAGATGCTGAGAAATATTAGATGGATTATAGAAAAACGTAGGGAAGTGATGTGGGCTTTGTACAGGACAGCCTTACAACAAAACCTTTTGCAATAGAAACTACGCTGCAGACATAGTGACAAGCTAAGGTTCCAAAAGCGTTTTAATATAACGTAGTCAATCTCTATAAAATAACATTTTTCTGTATAAAGAAAGATGTTTTTTTTTAGATATAAAACATATCTTTGTATAAAAACAACTTTATTACGTAACAAGGCAATACAATGAAAAATATGACAACCACGTGTTATTAGTTTTATATTTCAGTAATTTGTATAACAAACGTGAAATAGTTCCTTTTGAAACAGTAGTAAAAATCAAAGTTCGAAAACTTTTGTATTACAAATATGAAATGGTTCTTACTTTGAATAAGAATGACATAAAAAAAAACAGGACACTAAGCAAAATCTTGTTCGAAATCACATTTAATTGGTCTTTAAGAGTACATGTTTCTACGAGGGATTTAATATTAATTAGATGAGCAATTATTTTTGACAAGTGGATGTGGAAATTGTTGGATTTCACGTAAAGCATGTTTGCTTGATTGTTGTTAAGCGCAAAGTTACACAATTGGGAGTTTTGTGCTGTGTCAACTGCTGGTATCGAAACATGATTTTTAGCGTTATGAATTCTTAGACTTACCATTGAGCCATCGGAGGTGTGTGTGTGTGTAAAGTGTGTGTGGTGGGGAGGGGGGGGGGAGGCTCGCGCAAATGATATACTAGAGGGATTACAGTTCAAAAACATTCACCTCCAACTTTGAGGCTACTTTTGTCAAACTGAATAGTGGGTTTTGACCTCCATTCTTATAACGCCCCTGTGACACGAAAGTGCGGAATACATGTTTTTATTTTGGTAACGGGTCGCAACCTACGAAACCTTTGTTCCAAAGTCAAACACTGTAATTTTTTGTTTGTTGTTAAGCATTGATGCCTATTATGTTTAGATGCGTATATTATACGACATGTTATTGTGCTATTCTCTTATTTTAACGTCAAAAGAAAGAAACGACCCGGATGGATTAGTACTCAGCTAATTAATAAATCTTGGTAGCGTAAAAGTTAAACTTATTATAACATCTGTATTAGAGCAAAGCGTTTAAAAGTATCATTTCATTCATTTAGTAAGGAAAAAGTGTGAAAACTGGTGAGTTGTTCTCTTTTCATTCCCTTAAACGACAGTGTATTTTTATATTTTAAAACAGAAAATTTGATGGTTTGGAAAGAATGTGATAAAGTTCTCTTACATTCATGATGTTAGAAAAAATGTAATCATCGGATTTAATTTATTTTATGGGAACAAACTGAAGAGAAAATCTTATCAGAATGCTGCACAACAGCTAATATATATATATATATATATATATATATAGTACATGAGATGCATATATTATGCGACTACTTAAAGCTACATGTTTTGCACCAGTGGTGAAACGATAGTTCAAAATATAAACACGAACTCTAAATCGATTTGTATCTAGGTCCAAACTCGCCTGGGTACGAAATGCAACAATGAAAAAAAAAAGAATTTCTTTCATCCATTTCATACGAAAGACGCTTCAGAGGTATTAGATGCTTATTCATAAAATAAAAGGTAACTTATAATCTTATAAGTAATATATATATATATATATAACTCTAAGAAATCCAATATAATTTAATAAATTTACCATCATAAAGGAGGAAAGCGTAGAAACAGCACTTTCAAATCTGTGATGAGTAAAATTATGTAAACAAGGAAAATCAGGTTTGTTACCGTAATAATAAATATGCGCTCCGCACTTTGGAATCGCAGGAGTGTTATAAGAGTGATGGTCAAATCCCACCTAATGCTAACTTTTGGGCTACTCTTGTCATGACAAACAATAATTCATTGTACTTCTGAATAGAAGTAGACTGAATTATTGAATAAACCTTAACTCTCAAATTATAAAGGTAGATATAAAATAGATATTAAAAATATAAGTTGCGAAAACTGCACGCACAATGCACATAATTTAGCAATTTATTGCAACTTACGTTAACGAAAGAGTTGATAATACTTTGAAGAAGTAATTTACCTGTCCTAGCACTGTAGACGCCACGTTAGCCTGAATAATAGCTTCTTCTTTTTGTTGTTGTTGCTGTAAACTCTCAGTTGCAAGCATTCTACGATTTTTTTGTGTGTTTCAAATATACATAGGCAAAACAAGAAAGCGTTCACACAGAAGAAAAACAATATAGACTAATTTTTAAAACATTTCTGAGAAGATGAGCTCATTACGAGGGAACTGCCCATAAAGTTCACTAAAGATTCTGTCATCTGATACTGTTGTCTTTCTGTAAGAATGCTTTCCCGTTGTTGTTCATACATTTGTAACATGTAATGATATACATATAGCGTATACTA